ATAGTTGGGATGATGTAGAAAATAGTTGGGATGATGTAGAAAATAGTGATTATGATGTAGAAAATAGTTGGGATGATGTAGAAAATAGTTGGGATGATGTAGAAAATAGTTGGGATGATGTAGAAAATAGTGATTATGATGTAGAAAATAGTTGGGATGATGTAGAAAATAGTTGGGATGATGTAGAAAATAGTTGGGATGATGTAGAAAATAGTGATTATGATGTAGAAAATAGTGGGGATGATGTAGAAAATAGTGGGGATGATGTAGAAAATAGTGGGGATGATGTAGAAAATAGTGGGGATGATGTAGAAAATAGTGGGGATGATGTAGAAAATAGTGGGGATGATGTAGAAAATAGTGGGGATGATGTAGAAAATAGTGGGGATGATGTAGAAAATAGTGGGGATGATGTAGAAAATAGTGATGATGATGTAGAAAATAGTGGGGATGATGTAGAAAATAGTTGGGATGATGTAGAAAATAGTTGGGATGATGTAGAAAATAGTGGGAAAGGTGTAGAAAATAGTTTGAAGGAGCTTTAAAAAATCGTTTGGATGATGTAGAAAATAGTGGAAAAGGTGTAGAAAATAGTTTGGATGATCTAAAAGATAGTTGGGGTCAGCTAGGAAATAGTGGGGATTTATGTAGAAAATATTTGGAATGAGCTAAAATAATAGTTGAGATGAGCTAGGAAATAGTGGAGATGTAGAAAATGGTGTGGATGATGTAAAAAATAGTGTGAAAGATGTAAAAAAAAGAGTATGGATGATGTAGAAAATATTTGGGATGATGTAGAAAATAGTGGATGTGAGGTAGAGAGTAGTGGGAAAGATGTAAAAAATAGTTGGAATGATGTAATAAGTAGTGGGGATGAGCTAAAAAATAGTTGGGGTGGGCTAGGAAATAGTGGGGATGATGTAGAAAATAGTGGGGATGATGTAGAAAATAGTGGGGATGATGTAGAAAATAGTGGGGATGATGTAGAAAATAGTGGGGATGATGTAGAAAATAGTAATTATGATGTAGAAAATAGTAATTAAGATGTAGAAAATAGTGATTATGATGTAGAAAACAGTTGGGGTGATGTACAAAATAGTGATTATGATGTAGAAAATAGTGATTATGATGTAAAAAATAGTGATTATGATGTAGAAATTAGTGATTATGATGTAGAAAATAGTGATTATGATGTAGAAAATAGTTGGGATGATGTACAAAATAGTGGGGGTGATGTAGAAAGTAGTTGACATGAGCTAAAAAATAGTGTGGATGATATAGAAAATAGTGGGAAAGATGTAAAAAATAGTTGTGATGATGCAGAAAATTATGGGGCTGATGTAAAAAGTACTGCAGATGAAGTAGAAAATAACTGGGACGAATTTTTAACAAAGTTGGGGTGAGCTAGGAAATAGTGGAGATAATGTAGAAAATTGTGGGGATGATGTAAAAAATAGTAGGGATGATGTAGAAAATAGTGGGGATGATGTAAAAAATAGTGGGGATGATGTAATAAATAGTGGGGATGATGTAGATAATAGTGGGGATGATGTAAAAAATAGTTCCGATGACATAAAAAATAGTAGGGAAGATGTAGAATATAGTAGGAAAGATGTAGAAAATAGTTGGGATTATGTAGAAAGTAGTTGACATGAGCTAAAATAATAGTTGGGGTGAGCTAGGAAATAGTGGAAATGTAGAAAATTGTCTGGATGATTGTAAAAAATAGTGTGAAAGATGTAAAAAAAAAGTATGGATGATGTAGAAAATATGGAATGATGTAGAAAAGAGTGGGGATGATGTAAGATGTAAAATATTGTGGGTATGATGAAGAAAATAGTGGCAGTGAAGTAGAAAGTAGTGTTTAAGATGTAGAAAATAGTGGGAAAGGTGTAAAAATTAGTTGAAATTATGTTTAAAAAATAGTGGGGAAGAGCTAAAAAATAGTTGGGGTTGGCTAGGAAATAGTGGGGATGAAGTAGAAAATTGTGGGGATGAAGTAGAAAATTGTGGGGATGAAGTAGAAAATTGTGGGGATGAAGTAGAAAATAGTGGGGATGAAGTAGAAAGTACTGGTGATGATGTAGAAAATAGTGGGGATGATGTAGAAAATAGTGGGGATGATGTAGAAAATAGTTGGGAACAGGTAAAAAAAAATAGTTTGGAAGAGCGTGGAAATAGTGGGGATGATGTAGAAAATAGTGGGGATGATGTAGAAAATAGTGGAGAGGGTGTAGAAAATAGTGGGGATGATTTAGAAAATAGTGGAGAGGGTGTAGAAAATAATTTAGACGATGTATAAAAAATAGTGTGGTTAAGCTAGAAAAAAGAGGGAGTGACGTAGAGCTAGAAAACAGTCCCTTTCTGAATGCTTTCCTCAGTTCCGTGAGTTGCTTTCAAATCTTTCCTTACATTTTGTACAAGTCCTCCCACATAGAACTTAGTATTTCAGAGGGAGCGATATATTCACAACCCGTAAGGACTGAGTATACTTATATATGATATGAATTCTTTTCATCTCAGATGATAAATTTTTTGGAGCATGTTTCCTTTTCCGATAGAAAAATGGATCTCTTTCTCCTTTTTGAGTAAGAATTTGCGATTTTCCGTTGCGTTAAGTTGTATTTTTAAAATGTCACAACTCTGACTGCCTCTCTCTGGTGTCAGTATTTGAACTTGAAGTGTGTGTGTTGCAGTACATGTATTTCTCTTGTGAATAGAGCGGTGTCCTCTTAAACCCAACATGGTGAATCTGAAAACAGCAGTAAACCGAAGGAAAATAAAATCCCCGATTTAAAAGAATTTTTGGGTTGTTTTTTTTAGGGGGGTGGGGGGGGGGGTGGTTCTATCTGAGCGACGTCTTTAAACTGAAAACAGGGCTCGACCAAAGAAACCCCAGCAGGCCCACCGAATTCTGTAGGAGCAGACTCCACCGTAGTTTAGAATTCTATGAGGTCAGTATCTGCTCCCATCAGGAAGAGTAGTGTTGTGGAAGAGACTTTTGGGATTCTAGTGTGTTCAACATTTTCCACAGATTATAATATTATTGTGTTGAGCACATGGCCCTCTCAGTGACCCACAGATTATA